TTTCCACCGCAGCCTTATTTAACACCAAGTCTCATTCCTGTGTTCCGTGTCTCTTGAAGAGAAGATTGATCGACTTCTCTGAGTAACAAACAAACGTCCTCCACCAGGAACCACTTTAGTTCTGCGTCCACCGACTCTAAAGCACCTGAGCCTTGACAAAACAAAGAGAAACGCAGATCCATCTGGTCAGGAATGTTCCCAATGCTGTGGTCCTTAAAACCTCTCTCTGTTTTCTTTTTTTTTTAAATCATTTTAGACCAACAGAATTTCATACATCGACTTATTTTATTATGTTAGGAAAGTTTTATTTTTGACTGAATGGAAAAGTGAAGTAAAAGCCAAAAGGTCGTCGGTCAGAGATGAAGTGATTTTTTTTTTTTCACTGTGAGGTTGGAGCGTTCTTGGCGTTCCAGACTGAAGGTGTTAGCTTTGGTTTGTGGGTTTGATTCTCTCCTTCAGTCTTGTCTGACACAGAACACGAGCAAAAGTGATCAGAGAAATAAACCAAAGAAACTATGTTGAGCGGACGGTTCTGGTCACTGACTGGTCGTTCTGTGACTCTTCAGGGTCGGAGCCTTGGTTTGACCTGCTCTGTTGTCTTGACCGTTGATGTAAGAGTGACCGTCGTCAGCAGGGATTGACTCCTGGTTGTATTTGTTACAGTGGAGAGGCCACAGAATCACATGTTTGTGTCTGTTGTGTTTAATGGCCGCCGCGGCAGTGAAGTGAATCTTAGGCAGAGGAAGAGGAAGAGCGCGTTTGATTCTTTACACAGAGAACAATCAGTGTGTTTATACAAATGGTTGCAGTTTTTCTTTTTTTGTCAAAACACTAGAAGAGCAGAGACAGACTCCATGACTCTGGTCTGTCCACTCAGGCGTCTGATTAACTACAGACATCAAACACTGATGACCATTATTTTCCGTCCCTAACGTGATGAAATCACCTGAACACGAGGTGTGAACCCGGTGAGAAACCCACGGCGCCTCACGTCTCCTGTCAGTGGGAGACGACGTGACATCACAGTCAGAAAGACTGAGGCAGGAATCAGTTCACAGAGGGACAGGAGTCGGGAGGAACATATATTTTTGGAAATAATTGTCTGTCACTCAGACAAATATATGTGACTCGAACTTTTACAATATCTTCAGTATTGCAGTAGTTGTAGTAGCTGAACAGATGTATTTACATTTTTCATCATATAAATACATATATTACATACATATATCTGTGTCTTTATACAGTATGTATATGAATATATATATAGTCTGCACACAGTAGTATATATTTGTATTTATATTTGTTTGTGTGCTAGGCCTGTCAAACAAAACGATTACTTTTTTTTTTTGAAAATCAGATTGACCACGTTAGCTGTGGATTAATCGTGATTATAAGTATGTATGACGATATTGAATATGAAAAAATGTCATGAAAATATATTCAAATATATAAGTGAAATTTGAGTTGGTGGACTTTAGTCATTACCGTCCGTTGACGGCGGCTCAGAGAACGTGTTAAGTGTTTCCTTCAAAAACTTTGCTGAAGTCGTTGTCCTCGACGGTGTTAATCTGTCTACGATTTCCCACAATGCATCTGACAAGTGTGTCAGTCAGACTGTCAACTGTAGACTTACTTACTGCCCTGCACTCAGCCCGGCTGCACGGACACACGCTGAGTGACGGACCTGGAGTTAAAGCCTCCACCAGCGCTGGGGGCGGAGACGGGATTTTTTTTTTTTTTTTGTCAAAGTGACAACAGTACAGTATCATCTGCGTATTGGAGCATCAGTAAAACTGGATGGACGGAGGAGTTAGCCCATATGTAAATATTTTAATCTGATTAATTTCACAAATTAATTCACGCATTCAAGCATTAATCTCATACACAGAAGGAAGAGGCAAAATCCAAGCGTGTCCTCTAATTGGTGACGTCTTTGCTAGCTATTTTAGCTTTTACAACGCACTTTAGACGTATTGTGAAATGAGCAAAGACCTGGTCAAAATGTCTATATATATATATATATATATATATATGACATTTTATATGTTTATATATATATATACATATATATATAGACATTTTCACCAGGTTTCACAGCTTTTCAGTAGCAAGTAAGCTAACGTAGCTAATCACTTTGATTTTGCATTTTGTGGAAAAAGGAAAATAGAAACTACGACAGGAAGTGAAATAGGAAACACACCTGGAGCCGTCAGGGAAGACCAGCATCCCACATCCATTGAAGAGGCCATTTTCAAACTGTCCCGTGTAGCAAGTCCCGTCGATGAAGGTCAGCTGACCTAGGCCATGACGTAAACCTAAAGCGGCGAAAAAATGAAATCAGCCTCGTTAATTGTATGCTAACCATAAATTAAAGGTTGGTTTGTTTGTTTTTTTGAAGACAGACGACTCAGAATTGGTTTTTTTTTAAGACAGATGACTCCGAATTAGCTCCGAAAATAAAAACCCCGGTGATTTTGATTCCCAGCTCAAAGCAGATCTCCACTGTGAACCAAATTAAAAGCCTTGGTTGTCGAGCTCCGTTAATGGAAACTCTCATTTTCATAATAGGTGACAGACTATTAGGAAAAACATTCTCTGTCATATCTCGGCTCCTAAAGATTTTCCCGTGGAGGTGAGACCCAATTTTCCTCCCCTAATCCTTCCTCCCCCGGATTACGGACGACACCGAAGGAGAAAGAAATGAAAGGATTCCCACAACCCTCCATTAGCAGACGCAGCTGGAATTTGGGGAAATGACTAGATACGAGGCACCGTTGGACACCAGCCTGAAGAGGGCCAGGGCGCCGCGGAGCAGCTGTGAGCTAGGCACGGGGTTTAGCGCCAGCTCGCCAGTTGGTATGGAGTCAGTGAAGAGGAGAAGGAACCCTACAGGAGGATTGGGATTTACAGGAGGGGAGGTGGCGGGTGAGGCGGGTGAGTGTGATTCCCCTGCTTGCAGCTAATGGCAAAGTAAATTAGGCAGTCCATCTGTCAGGGCTGCTTAAAGTGCTGCTCCACGCCTAATCTCAGCAGGGTTTTCACAAGAGATTTGGAGAAGAGATTTGGCTGGAACTAAATCTGGAGCTCTGCATTCCATTTTCAGCATTTCAAAACATCCATCTACTGTATGTACGTGTGTGTGTGTGTGTGTGTGTGTGTATATGCAGGAGCCATGCTTGATTAAGTACATGTATGTATATACATATATATATATTTATATCTAGTTACAGAATATATGGGCCAACTGCAGCTTAAATGCTGCTCCACAGGCTGCAGCACCGCTGTCAGCCTGTGGGGGGAAATTTCACAGAGCGACCTCTGAAAAATACAACAATCTGAGGATTGTCGTTGAGGTCACGGTCGCCTCGCCACAAATTACCAACAGCAGCGTCTTCCATTGAAGGATCTTTAGTCGAAGCGTGAATGGCTCTATTGAATGTGTAGGAATAAAGCTTTTTTTTTTTTTCTTCTCCAGACCACTTTGAGGCTAACAGTTTACTTTTTGTTAACGGGATGGATCGTCCGCAGCGCGTGCACCGCACTTTCCACTCTGTCTCTCTGATTTGATCCCCCGCAGACAGATATTAATCCCGAGCTCAGCTCCTTTTGTAGCGCCTAGCCTCCGATCTCGCGTTGGGGTCACGGTCTCCAGCTAATTTGGGTTTAGCTGAATTTGTCCGGCTTTTATGTCAATCAATAGCGGTAATGCATCAATGTTAAATGACCGCACGGGGGAAGTACAGTAGTAAATGGCCTCTCGCTGTTGCCGTGGCCGCCGTGGATCTACCCGACACACTTCCTGTAATCTGATCGGCCCCCGGCTCTTTCTTGGGCCGCTGAATAATTCATGTGACACAGAAGACCTCTGTCCGACATGCACCTCCGTGTTTGTGTGCAAACAGTGACTCGGACGAGGAGCTACGGCGAGCGACAGGCGTCGATCCGTGTTGATGACAAACACAAACACCCCACGGTCGTTCTTCCCACTGCTCCACGGAGCGGCGTCAGCAGAATAACTCCGACTAATCTGGTGTTAATTTGGAGAGAACGTGTGATGACACGTATTTTGGAAATGCCAGAAATTAAATGTGCGTTGGAGAAAAGGTGGCAGCGTTCGTACCCACGAGTGCTTACGCTGTGTTTACACGCAGTTTGTGTGAAGAGAAATTGTTAATTAAGAAGAAACGTATTAATTGCGGGCTATAAAAAATAAAAAAAAAAGAGGAAAGAAAGTTGGTGTGAAAGGGAAACATCAAAAGTAATTAACTTCTTCTTCGCAGAGACAGGTTGTTGTTTTTTTTACCTGAGTTTTTCACGTCAGTGATAATTGACAGTAGTTTTGTAATTGCTGTTTAATTGTGTGTAATTTTAAATTATTTTAAATTAAATCGAAACATGGCTGAAATTACAGAGAGATACCAAGAAAAGAAGTGATTAACAAAAAAAATAAATCTAAATTATCTCTTCCTGCTGCCAATACAGACTGACTTGATTTAAAAAAAAAAAAAAAGTTTAAGTGAAGTATAAAAAAAAATAATTGGACATTTAAATTAAGGTGAAGATCTGCCACAGTGGGAAGTATTTTCTCAGTAATATAACAGTGTTTTTGACTTACATCAGGGGTGTCAAACATATGGCACACGGACCCAAATTTGCCCACTTGTAGTTGCAATCTGGCCCGTTTTAAAAATAAAAAAAAAACACAAACCCAATCATGTTGTAAAATTGTCTTTGTCTCGGTGTCTTTGACACATCAGTGGTTTGTCTGTACATGTGGCTCTCTCTGATGGACCAACCTTGGGGTCGCGACCCCATTTGGGGTCATCTGGAATTCAAATACGGTCGCCTAAAATTCCTTGTAACTGATTTTTTTTTTTAAATGACTGATATTTAACGACTGCATGTGACAGCTGTGGTCACATGACAGAAGTTCGTGGGGTCACAGAGGGTTCAGGCCACAGAAGGTCAACGCATGAATTAGACTGTAGAGAAATGACCACTGACGGAGGAGGTCTGCCATCAGAGCCGTGCATTCATCTCTGTTTTTTGAAGTTGACTTTTTTTATATTAAACAGAATCTCAGGGCGATGAATAAAAACACAAACAAAAAAAACCTGTTCATTTACATTAAACGTAAACAAAAATATAATTATACTTTTTCTTCAGCTTCATTTGAGCAAATGTCAAGGAGAAGAATAGCTCTTCCCTGACCTTTTGAATTTCCAATAAGCACATAGAGTATTTACAGCAAAATAAATATTTGTGGCAGGAACATTAATAAATCAACATCAGGTATGAATACGACCTCACTGAAGGCTGCGGCGTTTTCCAACTCAGACAAACGGTGAACCCTGAGCTCGGCTCAAATAAATGCGCACAAAAGTTCACGCTCGTTGACACAAAGTATTCGTTTCCAGTATGTGAGGATAATCACCTGACCTCGGAGAAGCTCACATCATATCGCTGCCTCTTTTCACCAGAACTGGACAAATATATGCGCACGACTCCAAACAGTTTGGCTGGAAAATAAATTAGATTTTACGGACGAGGTTCAGGACAAAGACAGGGCTGAGGACACTGACTCAGTCCTGGTGTCCTCAGTCGTTAGTCTGCTCGGTCTGTGAAGGCCACGCCGTCTACTGTATAGAATGTTTGTTCACGTCTTTGTCTGTCGTAGCTCGGGTTCAAAGTTCAAAGTACTTTATTTGTCCTACACTTAAAGCCTGCCATGAGTTTATTAGGACGAGGCTGAGAACTTCACCCGGTAAATAGTTCAACTTCCCGTTGCCACAGCAGCAACCGCAGCTTTTAGCGTTAGCTTAGCAGTTAGCATCTCTTCACTGTCACCTGACTTCACCTGCAGCTGTCAATCACCCAAGATTAGTCACGAACCTTCCAGTTCCGTAGACAACACGTACCCCCCCTCCTCCTCCCACCTCATCATATGATAAGGAAAGGAAAATATTAACGTTAAAAATAATTTGCTTTGTATCTTCACCCTCCTGCAATTGCTTCTCACCCGCTGCCCCCCCCACACCCCCACCTACTGTCATATAGTTGCTCAGCCAACAGTGAAATCCTGAGCACTCACTGCTGCCCCCTCCTCTCTGTTGTTCTCACTGCGGGTCTGTCAGCCTGTAGCAGCAGCTCTTATCGTTTTTGAAAAGTCACATGCATAATATTATTGGAGCGATGCTTCGGTGCCTGTGCAAATATTTTGACAATGGAAACCTCGCTGAAAAGCATGAATGGATTCAGGAATATCTACAGTCGACGCCTGAGTGAACGAAAACAGACACCGATACACCAGGGGGCGCACCGTGTATTTCTCACAAATCCATGTTCTAATAACTACATTTAGTATAACGAGTCTGTGGAGGTTCTCAGATGCTAGCTAGACGCTAACTTACTGTGTTCGAGACCGGGTATTCTTTGACCGTCCAATCAAATTACTCAATTTCAACTGCGGGTCAGCTAGAAGGCCAGTTTGATGCGAATCACTGACGCAACTGCCAGTTTGATGCCAACTCTAAATCTGATTGGTTAAACAAACGACGTCATTATCATTATTTTTAGGCAATGAGCGCTAACACTCGCACTACTAATTCTGACGGCCTTAGGGCAGATTTGTTTCAGCCTGGCAACACGTGAGGTCGAAATATGATTGGATAAAAAATACCCTGAGACTACGCGACAGGAAGTAGCGCAACCCCAAGAAAAAAACCCAAAAAACTTAAGAACGAGCATTAATGAATAAAACAGAATAATTTTACAATACTTCATGATAAATATATTGAAATCTAAATTCTGGTTCTGTTCAGACCAGCAGGTTTTTCTACGGTGGCTCCGTGACTTTCTCTGAGCTGCTGCGTACGAACAGACGCAGCACAGGAAACTAGTCGTAGTCGCAGTTTTTTTTTTCTGCGGTCGTGCGGAGACCATATGTTTCACACAGACAACGGTGCCAAACTTCTCTTCTTTGTTTAACCTTGGCCTAAAGGTTGTCCAAGTGTTGTTGTCAACCTGCACATAGTGGTTTGAGGTGGTGTGATATCCACTCTCAGCGGGCCTGCTGGCACCAGATGGCATCCCTGTGTGTGTGTGTGTGTGTGTGTGTGTTCCTGACTTTTACTTTGACACCTTCTCTTTCTACCCGTTTGAAACAATCTGTTTGTGCGTGAGCTCAGGTTCATTTAAAAGCCAAATTCTCCAACTTTAACAACCTCCGTCTCACACCCACTTTTCCCTTCAAGGTGCTGTGAACATATTTCCATTTTTACAGTATCAGGTCTCCTCATCTCCCACTGAGCGAACTCCAAATTCCTTCACTATCGCTCTATTGTCGTCGAAGCGTTTGCCGTTGGCTCGGCTCCATTTGTCGGCAGAGAAAAAACCTTCGCCGCCGCCGCCGACATCTGCTGTTAGTCTCCGTCAGGTACCGATAATAATCGGTGGCTGACCTGGCGG